GGGGTCAAGAACTCATCCTCATCCAGTGACAGTGAAAGTGATTCAGCTGATGGGGACCAGGAGAAGGTCTCAGAGAATATGGTGCCACCTTCTGATGCTGTATCGTGCCAAGAAGGTATTGTCAATACTGTGGCCAAAGAAATTGAGGAAAGTGATTCGTTGCGAGAAAAGACCAGTCAAGCCGTCAAGCCGTCATCTTTCTTTGCAAAAGAGCTAGGTCTGGCAGATGTAGGGCTGGCTTTGTCCGGGAGAAGTGTGTGTTTGTGCTGCAAACTGATGATACCCAAATCATCAGTAAGATTTGCCTGGCAGTATTCCAGAGCCAAGCCACATGGCTGGATTCACGCTTCTTGCCTAGTTCGCCAAGTCTCTTCACACACTGCAAGTGATCATGAGAGATCTATCCAAACACTGCTCAAATTTCAAAAGCAATACCGTGATGCTTGTTCTTCTTCCAAAGCCACGCCAGCAGAAGCAGAGATTCTAGGCTGGATCAACAAGACTCTGGAAGCTCTGCAGAAGAAGTAAAACAGCGCAAGGGGATGCAAGGGGGTTCAGGGTCAGTCAGATCAGTTGAATCGAGTCATTTTTTACATTGACATTGTCTCACTTTGCGCCAGTCCGCCTACGACTTTATGATGCACGGCCGGGGTCCTGCTGGTGAAGAAATTGGATTGAAGCTCATTCCTGGATACCACATGGAAGTGTTGCGAATGGAGAGTCTGAGCTCAAATTTGGGTTTGTTCACACTGAGTCACAAAGAAACAATTCAAACAGTTCATTTGATTACAGAGTGGGCAGAGTGGCTGAAGCATTTTTTTTGAGATGGAGAAGTGAAGGCATTAAGATATGCTTTGATTAGTTGATCAGTGATCGAAGTCGCTATATGACTCACCATGACTTTTACAGCAAAGGTCAAGTCGATATGGCCTGCCCCAGACAAGAGGACGGGTTTACATACTTATGGTCGCTTCAGATCTTCTGGAGCCTGCTCAAATGTCGGCCTTGGTACAGCTGATCACAAAGAGCTTTTCCTTGGTGCTGTCTCCTTCGCCAACTGTCCAACAAATCCGGTCTTATGTTGCTGCCGTCCAGCGTTCTCTTGGGCTGCAGCCAACACATCCCGTGATCTCCAAGGACTATTTCCAGTACTTTGTTTGACCGGATGCGTGGCATGTTTCACAGCTAATGAACAAGGAATCAGGATGTTTGGGCGTTCTTTTGGGGGGCGGGGGCCTTGGATCACTCGGATCTTTTTGAATGGGCCGGTTCCGGGCTCCTGGCTCGGCTCGGGCTCCTGGCCCAGCTGGAGCTCTGGCGATTTTCATGGCTGACCCGGGTTTGACAGGAAACTGTTTATATATAGCGCCTAGCGCATTTATATATAGTTCCTGCCGTCTTTATATATAGTCCAAGATGTGTTTCCTTGCTGTCCCGCCAGGATGGCAAAACTTCGGAGAAGGCTGCCTCGGACCTGAAGTCACTTGAGGATCAGTTCAGAGTGGGGCTTGACCGGCCTCGCTACACCGCTGGACTGGACTGGGGGTCTACAGACATTTGGAGGTTGAACCAAAGGGAGAAGGCGAGCCTGGATTTGCTGTATGAAGTTTTGCGTGTGACCCAGCTGCAGTGGACTGGGCTGGACCGGGGCTCAAACAAAAGGGGCCAGGCCGCCTAGGGCATACACAAACAGTTCCCGGGTCAAGTCATTCGATTCATTCGGTACCAAAGTAGAGTCGAGTGACTGGTGTTGTTGTGGGTTGCCTGCCTTCAGGATTTCAGATTCTGTTGCCAGATTCTTTATAACTGGATCAAAAGCTGTTTGCCTATCCATCCAAGATTCTAGCATTATATAATAATATACTTACAAGCTGATGATTCGATCATGAAGTCATTTTTTTGACTCTGTCAAAGTTCAATCCATTTATATATAGTCCGGAACCGCTCCGAACCGCTCCGAGCTATATCTAACCCAGTCATTTAAATATAGTCCGGAACCGCTCCAAACCGTTCGGAGCCATATGTGGAAACATGTTTATATTTAGCCCGGAACCGCTCCAAACCGTTCTGAACTATATATGAAGTGATGTTTATATATAGCTCTGAACCGTCCCAAACCGTTCTGGACTATATACACATCAGAAACTAAATTAGTCTCAATTAGTCCCAGATAGTCCCATATAGTCCGGGATGTATATGTAGTCCGGAACCGTTCCAAACCGTTCGGAACATATGAAAGCAGTTCTATATATAGTCCAGAACCGCTTCCAACCGTTCTGAGCTATATATAAGCGCTAAGTTATATATAGTCCGGAACCGCTTCAAACCGTTCGGCGCTCTATATAACTCAAACCCTTTATATGTAGTCCGGAACCGCTCTGAACCGCTCTGAGCTATATATAGGAATACCCATTTCTCAATTTATACAAAAACAAGGGACATAACTTAACATAACAAAAATACATAATAAGTTATAGTTATTTCAGCTTTTGAAAACAACATAACTCCATAGAAAACAACACAACATAACTTAACTTAACTCCATAGCAAAACAGATTCCAAATACTCCACCAAAAGTTCAAGAAACGCAACCTTTAATCATCTAGTGGCCAGGGCCTAGCCACTTGGCTGGCCGGCTGACCAAAGGCAGTAAGACTTAAGCTCAAGACAACCAAATCTAATACACACACAGTACTACAGTACTAGTACAGTATGTATACATTAAGAAGCAAGTCAGAATTGGCTTGAATGAGCAGCAGAAGCAAAACCAAACATAAACGGTCACGAGTCCCCAGTCACCAGTTAAAACTCCAGCCGCTAAGTTCGAAAGCCACATCGGCATCAAGGTCGCGTCAGTACAAGAAACCTCCTATTCCATGCATTGGTTGACGCAATCTGATCTGAAGGAAAAGGAGGTAAGTAAGGTTCGAGGTAAGGAGGTAAGGAAGCACGCGTCTGTTGTGGCACCCCGCATTTTAAGTTGCGTGTAAAGACATGAGAGAGCACGCAAACAAAAGAAACATTAACGGACTGACAAGCCACCCTATCCTCAGTATTTGTTGTAAGAAGGAGAGTGTGAGGAGAAGGCAAAGGAAGGAGGTAAGTACCGGTCAGCATTTACAAACACGTGGCGTGCACGCGCATTTTTTAACGGGCCAGCCAGCGTTCCACTGCACTGCATCACTGCATCCCAATTGACCCCGGTGCTTATAGTGGCACCTCATCTTGAAAGCCACGGGTAACCAATAGAATTAACTTAACGTCGTTCTTTAAAGACAATGCCTTCGTCCAGTAGACGTTGCCACTGAGTAGGGATCTGACGGGTGGATTTTGCTGCACAGACTGTTTTTCTCAGAAGTGAAGTACTATGGACTCTTGATTTCCAGGTTCTTGGGCTTGCAAAACTCCCAGTATCTCATTTAGCGACTGCACTCCGAAACAAGAAACAAGGACCGCAACTTGGACCCAGACACTGATTTGTGCCTGGCCGACCTGGCAAGTTCCTTGTCAGCAGTACTCTGAAGTTTGTTCACACCGCCTGTTGGCCATTGTATAATTATTCACTCACTGACTGAGGGAGTGCTCCAAGACTTTGTGTTGGAGTGAGGGGGTCACTGTCCGCCATCACCACTCATGTGAAATGGTGGGACTTTGCAAACAAGTCTATGCTGAGTGCTGAGGACTTGTGTTTATGCACGGTTGAAGGGTTAGAAGGGTAGACGGTAGACGGATGGTTAAACAGTGTTTTTGGTGTCAAGTCAAGTAATATAATTTTGCGAACTTCTGAATTGCAACAGGATTTGTTGGCCTTGCAGGGGTTCGACTTGCAAAAAATTACAGTCGGCGGCTTCACCTATTCGGACTTGAACGAAATCATTGGAAACTTGCTTGCCAGCACATGGCCACCTCAGTTGGCCTTCCTAAGTGTTGGAAGCAGTGGGGTTGTAAGTTGCACAATTGACAGTGTAACAGAATACATCGATTTTTTAAGTATATTTTTCTTGGTCATTGGATGTGATGTCTCGGATGTGATGCTATGGATTAAGGAAATGCTTGGTCAGTGCCTGCTGCTGGTTCTGTAATCTTCGCATTGGTCACCTGCGTTTTTCCTTGCAAGACTGGGGGCCCGGCAAAGCCTTTGACAACTCCTCAGCCCCTTCTGAACAGGTTCGGCAAGTATGGTTCTGTGACTGAGCCTTCTGAAGCGCAACCTGCTGAGGACAATGAATCCTCCTCGACTTGGGAGATCTTAGACACCTCTCCGGATGAGGAAGAGACTGACCAGACGGACCAGAAGTGTACTAAGAAGGGGGAGCGTTCACGATCTATTCTTAGCCAGATGCTCAGCACTAGCAAGCCCAGTGAAGTGCCCATCGCCTTGGAGCCCGGCCAGACGTCTACGGTCCATCCCCAGGATGACCTGTCCAAACTCTTGGACTCCGTGGACGATGGCAACGATTCTCAGTTTCCTTAGCTGACTGACAAACAGTCAGCAGTCAGCATTAGTAGCATCAATGCCAATGGCATTGCCTCCGCCTTTTGTCTGTAGGACGTTTTGAACAGGGGGCAGTGCAGTTTTGATTTTGAACCTGGTTTGCCTGCTCAAGATGCAGTAACTTGAAGGATCCCAGGCCCGCTCCTGGACTCCTTAGTCTGGAAAGGCCGCCAAATCTACCGATCTGAGAGTTGAGGAGAAATCAATCTATTTCGAGGGTGAGGCCACGGCCATTCTAACATTTCATGGTCAAGTCATGGTCCTGGTCCATTCATGGTCAACTGCCACATTCCGACCCTTTGACAATTGGTTGAGGGTTGAGCTCGGTTGAACGTTGCTTGGTGTGAGACGGACAGAAGGAGGGCGGCAATCAGATGTTGTTCAAGGCTAGTCGTTCTTTTGACTTCACTCCGTCTTGGCCCTGACTTTTGGACATTCGAGGCTTGTGTTGACTTGTAGTCGTAGTTCTTGCGTGACTTGACTTGCTGTTGCTTGACGGCCAGCCATGTCTTTGGTGCATAAGGGCGGCGAACCTGTTGAGCAGGAGGCGGTGACAGAAGACCAGGAAGCGAACATTCCTTTTGAGGAATGTACCTGCCCTGCATGCCAACAGAAATTTGGCTCACAAGACAAGGTCAGCTGATGTTTTTGCATTTGAGTCACATGTTGTCACATGCATTCATGTTGCATGTTGAACTGAAATTCAGTTGTCATGGGAAGCGATTCAATCAGTCCTGTTTGCAGGACGCGCCGCCAGGTTCTGTTCTTTTGGTGACCGCTTCGAAATGCGCCAGTGACAACTGCCGCGTCCTGTGTCTACGATGCTTCTACATCAAGCGGGGATCGTTTGCCAAGTTGACCTTGATGGAATTCCTCACCATGCTTTACACAGTCAAGGCTTTGTTCGCAAAGCTTCTCATTTGGCATTTTTTGTTTTTGAACGCTTTGTCAGCTTTGTCATTGTCTGTTGTGTGCTGGTCCTGGTCAATTTTGGTCAGCCAACGCCAGAGTCATCATTCATCAGGTTTTGCACTCTACGTCGCCGACATGTGCACCAAACGGCATTGAATCCACGTGCCAGGCCTAGGCACGAAAGCATCGATGTCCGTTTGTACACTGAGAAAAAGAAATCAGATTACCTTGATTTCTACAACGATCCTTGTCTTGATGTGTTGGTTTGGACATTCCAAACATTTTACATCAATGAGACGGGACGGGACTGACAACCTTTTGACATGTGCTCAAAGGCTGCTTCTTTGAGTGTGCATTGTACTTGTACCCACCTTTTTCCTACAACCGTTGCTTTGGCCTGAACCTGAGGAGGGAGAGTGGATGAGCGTGGATGATTTTTTCCAAGAGAAGGCTCCAGCGGACGTTAAAAAACGCGTGAAAACCTTGGCTGCCAAGAAGAACTGGCTGGTGAAAGAAGCTCAGCCTGCAGTCACCTCTTCCAGCCTAAGTTAGCTATTTTATAGCTACAGGCTAGCCACCGTCCCTTTGACCCTCGTCCATGTCCGTGACACATTGGAAAAACATCCGCATCTCATCCCTAGCCCAAGCTCAGGAGAAGGGTCTGGTCATCCAACAGGACCCTGGGTGCCGCATTGTTTTGTTTCAGGCCACAGGTCAGTCAAAACTACAGCTTTCGACCTCACCCTTTCTGTAGGATGACCGTGGAGTGGATGGAGTCATCATCATGCCAGATAACAAAAAGCGGAAGGTTCGTGTTGGTGCAAAAATGGAGAGCTCTTCAATCAAACGGTCCGAGTTCGAGAACCATGCGGAGCGTGACGAGAAGCAGAAGAAAAATGCACAATCTTTTGCAATTCAGTCCAATGACAAGGCCAGAATTCATGGGTTTGACCGGGGGTTGCAATGCCCACCACAGGTTTAGTTGGGGGCACACAAACAACTCAGGGAGCTGAGCAAACTCATATGTTTTCCTGAGTAGTTAGGTGCTTGCATCTCTTTTCCCTCCCCCTCTCCATTGTCATCAGAAAGTGGACAGGACGTGGTGGACAAGGCCATGTCGGAAGAGCCCGAGGAGGCTGTGGACCCCATTGAGGAGATGCCCAGTGAAGCCGAATCTGATGCATCCTCCGGCAGTGGTTTCTTTGGGGTCAAACACGCGAAGCCTGTCAAGGAGAAGCAGCCTGATGCCAGGACAGCACCATCGAGAGGTCCTGTGAAGCCTGAGGCAGAAGAAAAAAAACATGAGAAATTGTTGGCGAAGGCCAAGTCGACCCTTAGCACATTGGAGGCATTGTCTCCAATGGCCATTTGGCAGGGCACTGTGAAGGAAAAGGACATTGGAAGCCGATTGGAAAAGGCCGGCCAGGTCATCACCAGCCTTGAGAAGGATGGCCGTGATGATGCCAAGTCTCTCATTGCTGATTTGCAGACGTCCATGATGGCTGCCGAGACCCATGTGCAGCTCCTTTGCACAGATATGGCCTATGACTCTCTGGACGAGTTGGACAAGATTTTGCCACATGTTGTCGACAAGGTGGCCAAATTGCCATCAGACTGCTTGAATGCCATCATGAGTGATATTGGCAAAAAAGTGATCCAGGACTGTGCAACCTCTTTCGTCCTTTCATCTTTTCACTGTTTGCCTCTCCTGGTTGGGCCCAATCAGAAATGGGTACCCGCCAGTCTCCAATCAAATTAGCATCCCTTCCGACAGTGTTGCAAGACTTCTGACTTGACTTGACTGCAGGACTTGGCTCAGGGGTCCGTGGCAGATACCTTTTTCTTCGACTTCATCAGTTCGGATGATGCGGATGTGAATGCCAAGGATAAGGGGCTTTCATTGCGGGCTTTGCTCTGTCGGCGCGATTCTTGTTCTATGAGTCTGGTGGACTTGCTGAAGCTTCAGTGCTCACTTGGCAACGCATGGATGGACAAGATTAAGTCATTGCAGCCACAAGACGTGGACAAGTTTCTGCGTTCAATTCCTGGCAAGCTGTGGAATCCAGAGCTTGCGAGGCCAGAGTTGTGAAGTTACGCTCAGGGGGAAACGGGCATGTTGCTTGTAATGTCAGAAGTTGTGGAGTTGTGGCCGGGTCAGGGGCGGGGCCATGTTCATTGTCCAAATGCAGTTGTTTCCTTCCCTGCAGGAAATGTGCAGAACATCCCACTAGCGATGCCCTTCACGAAGACTACAAAGTGCTGAGTCCCAGGGTCGTCATTGACCTTCACAAGTTCCTGAGCTGTGCCAAAGTTTTGGATGAGAAGGAACCATTGGGCATTGAGCTGGTCAGGAGCCTGAAGACCATTGCGGCTCTGGCAAGTGCCACTTCACCTCGTGTGAACTTGATGTTTCGGAGCAATCCGCGTCTGAGGAGCCCACAATGTTCAGTTCTCCCTGGTCTGGTCTGTAGCCGGCAAGGCCAATTTGTTTTATTCTAATCATAACTTAACTAAATTAGACGTTACATTTTTGACATTTGGCAACTCACATTTGGGCAGGAGCCTTTGGCAACAAGCCTTGACAGCTTCTCAGAATTCCATCTCTGAGGAGAATGCTCTTGCAGAGTGCGACACAATGGTTTCAGATTTGACAGTGCTGGGTGAGCTGCTCCAGCAGTTTGCGAAGGACAAGAACACTCCGGCCCTGGAGCAGGCAGAAACTCAGATCCAGAAATGCCAGCGAGCATTGGACCTGGTGAGCATTTGCAAGACTTCGACGCATGAACTTGCTCCTGGGAAGGTTGAGTCTTTGACGCGAGCAGTGACACTACTTCAAGAGACAGTCAATGGCACGTTGCGTGCATCTGACAAGTTCAGGTCCTTCGTGGAATCACTTTGGGCTGCGGCTGACGACCTCACAGTGCCTGATGCTACAGTGGCATTCAGCAGTGGGGACCAGGAGGTTGAGATGAATGTGAGATGCTTTTTGGGATTCCTGACTGTTGAAGGTGAGGGTGGGTCAGGGTTGCCAAACTGAAACTCCGATTTTATGATGTGCAGTGATGATGTGTATTTACTGGTTCAAGTTTAAGGTTTGTTGGAGTAGTGGCTGGGGCATATAATTTCCATAAACCTGCAGGAGCTGTCCAAACACGAGTTCTTCAGCTTGCAGGCGACAACAGCTTTCTGCAGGAAACAGCGCAGGCCCTCTATGACTACATTCTTGCTTGTCCCAATGCCGAGTCTTTGGCTTTGCGTGCGTGCTGTGACTTTGCATCAAAACTTGAGAAGTTGGCTGCCAGGATCACTGCAAAGGAAGTGGCCCAGGATGGTTGGGCTCATGCATTTTTGACAGCCGTGAAGCGCTTCAACACCAATTTGGAGGCGCTTGCTTCCAAGTGGATTGCAGCTGTTTTGCAGGAGAAAGGTGCCGATGCTGCTTGGGGCTATGTCAGTGGCTGCCTCCCGAATCTTCCCAAGTACTTGAAGTCTCACCAGTCCATCTTGATGCAAGCTTCGTTTCTGGAAGGGCTCACTCAACCGAAGGCCACAGATGACCTGAGTGAGTTGTCAAAGCAGTTGAAGGCTTATGTCACCATCAAGACATCCATTCAGCACAAGGCCTTGAGTCAGCTCTTCCCTGAGCGCTTGGAGAAGGTGGTGGAGTTTGAGGACCACACGTCCAAGAACATCATCACATTCTTGCAGAGGTTCCGGAAGTCCGAGACCAACAAAGCCAAGGTCCACATTGACCAGCACAGGCGGACTGTGTTTTTCAAGTTGGGATTCGGGATTCGGGTGTTCAAGTTTTTTGTTATATTTTTAGACTCAGACTGAGTGGGCTCCGTCATGCCAAATGTTTTTCCAAACATTGAGTTATGGAAGGCCAGTGCTTGCTGCTATTGAGATGTGGCAGCTGGATGAGCATAAGTGGATGTTCCAGGAGGAGAACAAGGATGCCCAAGCGCTGATTGAACTGCTCATGGACTTCATGGAGAGGACGTTGCCCCACTGCACATTCTTGAGAAACTCTATGGCTTTGAAGACACCTTCCTTGAAGTCCGATCCTGTGATGTTGGAGCTGTCTCAGACACAGTCAGATTTGGAGGCTGGTTGCTGTTCAAAAACTATAAACAAATTGTCCCTCCATCCCATCACTGCTTATCTACACTTGACTAAGTCAATGTTGTTCAACTCTGTTGATAGGAACTTCGAGGCGTGGCCAAGAACCAGATTGCCTTCATTGGTTGCACCCAGACAGTGGTCGAGTATGAGAGCGCACCACCGGAGGAGCAATTGAAAGCGGCCAGGGAGTCAGCCGGCTTCATCAGCAAGAGCCTTGGGATGTCTGTGAAGGACTTGCCCGATCAGCTGAGGACAAGGTTCGAGTTGTTGGGAAAGAAGCTGCCTTCTCAACCAGAACCAAAGCGGAGGACAGCTAAGCGGACACCACCGGCTGCTGGTGCCGGCGCCAAGGCCGAACCCAAGGTCAAGGCGGCAAGAAAGAAGAAGGGTGAGGCTGCAATCTGAAGAGTTTTGAGTTCGGGCTTAGATTCTTAAATCAGCCATTTTTGAGCTGAGCATTTTGGGGTGCAAACAAATGATGTTTGCAAAGAACTTCTTTCAACTGTAGTGCGGAGTGCCACAGAAAGGTGTGCAAATTGAGCAAGGGACCTCTTAGAGAGGAGAAAAAAGGGTTCTCAATTTTGGACCGCCTGCATTAAGGTCAACACATTTTTTGGACAAAGCAGGTCCTGGTGGTTTATATACAGTCCACACATTTTATATATAGTTCCTGTATGTTCCTGTATATTTATATATATAGTTCCTGTATATTTATATATAGTTCCTGTATATTTATATATAGTTCCAAGGTACCAACAGACAAAGAGGCCCACGCACCCCCCAATTTATTTCAGTTTTCTTTTAAACATAAATCACTTTCTGCGGAAATGCTTCGCGAAGCCTGTATACCTCAGTCCGCGCAGCCTCACGAAGCCTCACGTGGAAGGGAAGTATCGATAATGTATAATATAAGTGCAATACCACCAACGGGGTGTGCGGATGGATCCAGACTTGGATATACATTATATATATATATATTTATATTTATAGGTCAAAGAACACAATGTTCATCCATGAGTCCTGTCCTGCTTCTCGTCTTTCTCTGGCTCTCGGAACCTTGCTTGTGCAGTGAAAGAAGCTGCACTTCTGGACATGTACATTGCAATGAAACATTGTTGCGGTAATGTTGCGGTCAAGTGGTCTTTTCTCAAGTGAAGGCCGAGAGCTGCCTAAGAGGAACAAATCACTATCCTTCCACTATCCTTCTTTCAACACATGCATTGCATGTTTTACTTACTACATTTGACGGGCACAAACACCGACGGGAAAATTATGTCAGCTATTCCAAGCTGATGGGTCGTGGAGGCCAAAGTATCTTGGGCCAAACTACATCAAACATCCGACAACATATGCGAATGCTTGTAATGAAATTAAGGGGTCCCCTAAGCTAAGCACGTCTGACAATAGAAACTAATGAGCCTCCGCTGGTTAAGGACCTCCTCCGCTGTTTGATCCAGGGAAGTTGAGATCAAATCAACAGCATCTCCTTCAACAAGACACACCCGGTGGCCAAAAGAGAATTAGATTGGGAACATATGACTGCAGAACTGTTGCAGAACCTTGGTGGAAGATTGATTTTACAAACAATGGACATCCTGATAAAATAATTCCTATCTTGTTGAGTATCGAGTATTTCAAAACAAGGAAAACCACGTTCCGCGCAGCTCACGCGCCTGGCGGTGGCTCCACGGAGTGGCTCCTCCTCTGCCACTCGGCGCCAGCGATCCAGCTTCATCAACACGAGCATCAACGACTTGGATTGAAAACACTCCATCGATCGTTCTACCTTTAGACCCTTTTTTGTTTTCTTTCTAATTACCTTTAGACCATTTTGTGACTTTAGCCCGCTGCTATTACCTAGGACGCAAGATAGCTCACGCTTCTTCAAGGAAACTCTCCCCGCCGCCCTAGAGGTGGCCGGTGGGAGCTTCCTTGAAGACGCGCTCGCACTATTCATTTGGTTCCTAGATTTTTAAGGAAACTTAACTTATCTATCCCATTTGGTTGGAAAGGAACTGGCCTCCATGAAGGTTTTGGAGCATACTCTCTCCTGACTCTGGGCCGTTGATGAGGCTTACCCAGGCTTAGAGGTACACGTGGATCACTGCGTTCGGGCCGCCTGCGTCACCTTCAAGCAGGTAAGAGGTTCAGGACAACAGACCTTCCAGTTTTGCCTCGAGAAGGGAGTAGAAAGGAACATCAAACATTGACAATGCCATTTTATCACCATGAATCTCTGCATTTTGTGTGCCAACCCCCCAATGCAAGAAGGTCACCCAATTGGATGTCTTAGCAAAAAACATCAACCCGCGATGGTTTGTCGGGGTCTTGGATTACCTTTGATAGCCATGGAATGAAACCTACAGAAAACCATCCTTTGCTACGCAAGTAGGTTTTTCAAATCTGTTTCCTGGATACCGTATACCAAGCCATTCCAAACATTTCTGGCCTACACTGTTGCTCTATCATCATCACCACTGGACAAGCCTTCCGAGGTGCTTCGATCCGCTTCTGTTGTCGTGGTTTCTGCTCCATGACCTCTAACAAGAACTGGAGGATGGACTCCTCACTCGCCCCAAATCGGGAGGGCAACGATATTGCGACGATGGACATCAAATCAATCTTCCTTGGCAGTATGAGAATGATTGAGAATGTCTCATGAAATTTATGAGCAGCTTATTCCCCAAACAGTGTGGCCACACTAGGGGTTCTTACGGTAGTAGTTAAGCACCGGTGTCTAATCGAGGTGTCGCCCCGACGTGCATATCCGGCTTTTGCTCCTATTTACAGTAGATTCATGCCTCTCGAAATCCTCGAAGTGCATTTCGACTGCGCAGGCTCGCAGAATCTGGTGGGCTGGCGCTGGTGCTTGTCGCGACTGCGCTCTCGTTGTGGTTTTGATGGTCCAAAGTCGACTTTTTGTGAGAGCGGTTTTACTTCGAAATGCAGATTTCGTGGCAAGCGCAGCACTTTGAATGGCGATCTTTTACGCGCTCTTATTTCGTGACAGGTGCAGTGAATCGCCCAGATGATCTGGAGACTCCGAGTGCATTCACTCGCCGAATGAGCTTGAATGGGCGTCAGTGACCTCCAGCAGCATGAATGTGCGCAACTCCGCTTTTTTTTAGAGCCAGTGGAGGCTTGGTCCTGCGCTGTCAGGTCTTGAGTTGGTTGTCCCTGAGCAAACCCTGTGCACACGGCCAAGCAGTCTCAAATACCCGACTTTTCTACATGTGGTTCGCTTTGGGAAATCCAGAGAAGTCTCGAGCGAAAGCTGCGTTTTGGTATCTTGCGGCAAAACGCCTTGGCAGGGCTGCGCCATGTGAATCTTGAAGTGCCGGTTTCGTAGTAGGCGCAGCGCTTTGTGAACCTCGAAGTGCAGATTTCGTGGCAAGCACAGCACTTTGTGAACCTCGAAGTGCAGTGCAGATTTCGTGTCAGGCGGCCTGGCACGGCGCTTTGTGAACCTCGAAGTGCAGATTTCGTGGCCAGCGCAGCACTTTGTGCTCTCAGATGCTTGCTCTCACTCTCTCACTCTCTCACTCACACTCACATTCACACTCACACTCTCACTCACTCACTCTCACTCACTCACTCACTCTCACTCACTCACTCACTCTCACTCACTCACTCGCTCACTCACTCACTCACTCGCAAACAAACAAACAAACACTCACTCACAAACACTCACACTCACACTCACACTCACACGCGCTCTCGTTCTCTCTCTCTCTCACACACACACACACTCACTCACTCTCACACGCACTCACACACCACCACCACGATCTCCACCTTCATCACCACCATCACCTCTCTAGACTTTCTGCTGCGACACCTCTAGACCTCACACATACTGTTTAAGGCCTCTTGCCGGGAAAATTCAGGATTTTTCTAGGATTGAAACAGGTGTATGCTTCCGCAGGCATCTCAGTCATGCCCTGCTGGACAAAGTGCAAACAGGTACCACGGTAGTGCAGTATATAGGCGGAATAATCGTAAACACATATTTTCACTTCTAGTAATTACAATTCTACTAGGAACAAGTGCATCGCTAGTAGTAACAAGTGCCTTACTGGTAGTAACAAGAAGCTACTAATATCTGCGCTCTGAAGTCGTTGGCCTTGACACCTTCAGACCGTAGGACACACCGATCATGGACCTCCTTGTAAGTATATACAGTACAACCTTCTCAAAGGCTCATCAGTCCTGTATCGGCAAAAACAAAGAAGTCAAGTTTGAGAAAAACAACACCACTATTCCAAATGGTCAGCTCCTTTTACGACTTACCAACAACTGCAAAAGGGTGATTATGGGCCGCCCGACAATCCTTTAGTAGTCGGACTTACACACAGCCCCAACTGAACTATTTTCTATTTCTCTGCACCAAGATTATCTTCCTCGCTGTACATATTTGACATAATTTGACAAACATATACCATAATGTTGGATCCTGATGAATAAAACGATCCTCAATAATGTTTTTCAAAACTAATTCTGAACACCGTGTTTGTTTTGAGGGTCCTCTATTGTGCTATGTTTAAAATCCAAAGCTTTGTTATCTGAAGAATAGTTAGGCCTTTAAATCCTTCTGAGCCCTGTCCACCTGTACTCCTGTACTCCCTCCCTTCCCAGGCAAGCAGCAAGCCACACAACAAAACGCCAACAAACAACACAGCCACCACAAGATGCAACAACCCTAGTCTAGCCCTTGGCTGAGGAACGCCTGCTTCCCAATTCCCAACGCCATCACCGTGTTTATACTGTGTTATCAGCCCTTTATGTGAAGAGTGTCCCTAAACAATTTTTCAAGGTAGTAGACCAGGAAGGCCCCTGATCTGAATACTAAATTGGTTTAAGGGGCTCTCAATTGTGAAAAACATGTTTTTCACCAGTGATCAAAGTTCGTTTGATCTTACATATATAATACTAAACCGATGGCTGGCTTGCTGAGCTTATTGATAAATATGGTTTTCTCTAGTTCTTCTTCAAAAACTGACAGCTCATCAATCCTTTCTGTGAAGATTGCTCCTAAACAAAATTTCAAGGTAGTAGAAGAGGATGGCTGAGAATATCTATATACAAAGAACCTGAGAAAGAACGCGAATCATTACAATCCATAAAATTAAAAGAAAGGAACATTAATACTACAATCAATTGCACAAGGAATCCTCCCAATAATCGTGGTAGTTTATTATAGAGGATCTCCCATTTGCTTAGCTGGAGGCTCTGACGAAGGGGGAGCCCCCTTTACTAATCAGGATCTAACATTATTGTAGATGCGCAGAACCAACATGCGGAAGCCAACAGTTTATTGAGCGTTCTTTACAGTGAGGTTATCAGTTTTCAGAGTTTATCATAACCGCCTATATATGACCTCTGTCATCGAATCTCCAAATCCGACG